GAAGTCAATGCTAAGATATAGTACTCGTATATAGTAAAACTAAAGCCCCGATTTCAGAATGTGAAAATATCTTATTCCTTTTAATTGTTCGAACTCGGTTTATAGTATTTTATTTAAAAAAAAAATCTATTTTGGTGTACTTAGGAATATCACAATCACAATGTCGTCTAAATAGTTTTATTTAGACGAAATTTTTTTTCTGGCTCGTTTCACTGGCGCTGCGGAGAGATGTTACATCCCTTTGCATTCTCTGCTCTGAAAAATTGTTCGTATTAATCCCAACCTTTCATTAATCCCAATGTTGTACGTGGTAGAGCCATGCTGCAGCTATATTAGTAGTATAGTTCTAGCACGAATGGGTCGGCTCGACCGGGGGAAGGACCACGCTCTCACAGAATATCAACCTAAAATAGCAGCAAAACGCTGCTGTGTTTCATATGGTGAGTGTAGAGAACCGGACACTGTTTTTACTACAAAAGAGGCATTCCATGTTAGTCCTCACGGGTGACAAAGCATCTGCATTTTGTTTTGCAAACGAGGATAAATGTAGATGTCTATGGGCCACAGCAACCACTAACCATCAGGTGGACTGTGTGCTCGTTTGTCACCCTATCCTATAAAAAAATATTGTATTTTATAAAGTTATGTAAATTAAAAAAAATATATTAAACTGTACATTTATATGTGCAAACGAAACATAGCAGTCTATGTTTCGTATGGTGAGTGTAGAGAACCGGAGACCCTTTTTACTGGAAAAGAGGCATTCTATCTTAGTTCTCACGTGTGATAATGCATCTGCATTTTGTTTCGCAAACGAGGATAAATGTTGATGTCTATGGGCCACAGCAACCACTTACCATCAGGTGGACTGTGTGCTCGTTTATCACACTATCCTATTTAAAAAAAACGCCAAATTTCACGAACACATATCGCGGTAAAACTCCCGATACCATACACACCATCTGGATGCTGGGAGGTCCACCACTGTACGTTTCACTAGGAGTTTTCTTCCGCGTACAACCTCTTTGTGGAATAGTTTACCACAAGCGATTTTTCCGGACCGATACGACTTAGGGACCTTCAAGAAAAGAGCTTACTTCTTTTTAAAAGGCCGGCAACGCACCTCCAATTCCCTTGGTGTTGCAGTTGTTCATGGGCGGCGGTAGTCACTTATCATCAGGTGAGCAGTATGCTCGTTTGCCCCCTATCCTATAAAAAAAAGCGTCATCCGCCATTTAGCCACCCTAAGTGTTAGACTTTTTTACCTTAAAAATAAAAAAAGAATAATCAAAATCGGTTCACAATTCTGGTTTCTGGTTTAAGAAATTTATTTCTCATAAGAATAAAAACATTCATTTGTCTGATAGAAGATCTGATAGAAGATTGACTTAAATAGGTACGTATGTTTACATGTGAACAAATGCTGGAGCGACATTATTTTATCATTGAGTGATGTGATGTTGTTGTTTTTATTATTCGCTCGAGAGAGCAGGCAAAGGAACTATGCCATACAGCCTTGTCTTTATGTATAATTATCCTTCATAGTTCACTGCTTCACAATATGTTGATGCGTCACATTGTGCAGCCCTTGGGAGATTTTGACGGTAACTTGAGCCAGCAGGCAGCTGACAGTTGGCGATGGTATCTAAAGGCGCCTATGCAAACAAACAGCTTATCTTGAGAATCCATCAACATCAGAGCACTTGTTTCACCGTTTCCACCAATAGTTCACATGTGTAGACAGTTAATACATAAAATCGCACCACTTTTACATATTAAAATCCACTTCAAACTATTATTTAAACTATAATACAGGAGCAGCAAACCGCCGCCGATGAAGTTCCCGCCAAAACGCCATTATTGTAAGAGCATTGACAATTACATTTCAAAATCAGATTGACATAAAATAAAAATAAAAATGTGAGTAAGTTGAAAACAATTACATCGACAAATTCAAAACATTGCACACTATATAATATTGTGAACAACAATTGATGAAGATATCGCGTAAGATATATATGTTTTTTTTTTTGTTATATTTTCGCATAAACCAAAGAAAGTAATTAAAAATTAAAAATTTTGTACAACCGCCTTCAATATTAACATAAAAAAATTGTGTTTATCGTGGTCGAGCTATGCTGCTACTATGTTGTAGTTGCGGCACGAATGGGTCCACTCAATCGGGGAATGATAACGCTCTGAGAGAATACCAGCGTATAATAGCAGCTTAATACTGCAGTGTTTCGAATGGTGGGTGGAGGCGAATGGTTAGAACCGGAGACCCTTTTAACTGGTAACGAGGCTCTCTATCTCAGGGATAACAACGCTTCAACGTTCATTTTGACCACAACATTCACTTACCTTGAAGTGGACTGTGTACACTTTTGTCACTTTTATACTACTATAAAACTATCCACTTACCACCAGGTGGACTGAGTGCTCGTGTGTCACCCTTATTCTATAAAACTAATCACTTACCATCAGGTGGACTGTTTGCTCGTGTGTCACCTTTATACTAAAAAAAAAAATACAAAGGTTTGTCCCATCGTTACGGACCGGTCTCGTCTCATTTCTATGGGTGTAGCGTAGTGGAGAGTCCGCCGCGCTTTATGTCTATAACATTGTAACTTGCATGATGAGCGTTCTCATTTTTAAAGAAGTAAGGATGACTAACGAGAAACAAGCACACAGTCCACCTGATGGTAAGTGGATGCTGTGGTCTATAAACACCTTCATCTATCATCTATTGAGAACCAAAAAGGCGAATGCATTGTCACACCATAGAACTAAGATGAATGTCTTAAGATAACTTAAATTTACTCTAGGTTCCAAAATGGTTCCACGGAAAAAGAAACCAGGTGAAATAGCCAAGAGTTTCAGTCGCAGTTTCTTTATTGCAGGCAGAAAAAATATAGACCCAAAAATATAGTTTAAAAAACATATTAATTGTATATGTGTATAATAATAATAGTTTTGTGATAATAAACTTGACGTTGAACTTTGGATCATCAACAAGAAACAAATTTAAATTATCTGACTATTTTAGTATAAAGCGCTAGAAAACTAGAAGATTGTTTGTGTGAAACCAATGTTAAATCTTATTCCGAGCTCTATTTACTTCACTAATGATCTGAAATGAAGTAAAAACTTTGTCCTCCAGACCTTTTTTCGGACAAACTCACGGGAGACTAGGCATCTGCGCAGGTTAGTACGCAATCCGATCAAAATCTGATGTTATTGGATTTTTATATCAAGAAATTCTCTGTAACAGTCCGTAGTCAGGAAGTTTCCGGTGTTTCACCTTCGTACCTTAGAACGCACTCAAAATGTTACGTTTATTCTTTATACAATTTCATACATATCATATCATATCACACATATACGTAAATACAAATCAATGGGCTTTATTTTAATTTAAATATATAATTAGTGCTCAAGTTCTAAAGAACGGCGAAAGACGTTCCGTCCTTGAAACGGCTGATAGGTGTATTGGAAACCGTAGTACAAAACGTTTAATGTATTTGACGCTGTGAAATTGTATATTTGCTAGAGCCGTGGTAACTCAGGCTTAGCGCTAGCCATACGCGAGCAACTCGGGTTCGATTCTTCGAGCACCAATGAAATCGTTAATTGCAATCTTATGTGCAGAATATGTGCTATAAATAAACGTCATTTAAATCTTAGTATAGCCATTCAGCGAAGAAAATGCAGACAGCGTTCTTCGCACTCTACTGCGGCGCACTATATATATTAGATTACACCGCAGGGAAAAGAACCTTTCGCCTATAGACATCTACATTTATCCTCGATTAGGAATTAAAATGCAGATGCGTAGTAGTAACCCCTGAGGACTTAGATTGAATGCCTCGTTTCCAGTAAAAAGGGTTTCCAATTCTCTTCAGTCATCATGGAAAACAGCAGCATTAAGATGCTATTTCAAGCTGGTATTCTGCGAAAGTGTGGGCCTTCCCAGGCTGAGACGAAACATAGAGGATGGCCATATGATTTATGGTGCCACCATATTAATCTGAAACCGGAAATAGTTAAATTATTATTACGTAAAGGATATCAAATGCCTTAACACTGTTTCAAGAGAATACTTAACTACATATATTTAGACATGTCAGATAGATTAGATTTACATATGTCAGCCGTTTTAGAACATTTATCCATAGGCCATTTGGGCCCCCTCTCTGTTGCCCGTCGAGGGGATCACTCATGGGCCCTGGTCCAGTCGACCTATGTCGGGGCAGCTAAGGGCGTGAACAGCGTGATAAGTCAAGGGTGGAGACTGGCCGAACGTCTAGTTGTAATGGTGGAAGGGAGAGGGAGGAATTAAATTATGCAATTCCTGCGCACACTCCCCGAAATGCATCCTGTAAAACCGAAAGGCTGGCTACTTTACGTCTATTTTCGAGACTGGTAAGATTGGTTTTAACCATATTCGGTCCACCAATAAGCCTCTTAGCACGCCTTTCCATTGAGTCCAAAGCTACTAGGTGGCATTTTGCAGCACCAGCCCATATATGGCAGCAATACTCCATGCACGACCGGACTTGCGTTTTATATAAAGTAAGTAGCTGTCCCGGCGTGAAGTATCGCCGCACCTTCCTTCTTCTTCCTTGTCCCAGTCCTTGCAAAGCAAAGTCCAATTTGGACTCAATGAACCGCTTGAAGTTCAAATTTGAGGATATTTTAAGCCCTAACAACTGAAGGCGGTCAGTATATTTCAGGGATACATTTCGGAAAGAAGGAGCCAAGGTGAGCTGGCTCCTTTACGCAGTAAAGAGATACGCTTGTGTTTTGGAGGCGTTGAACTTCACAAGATTGGCATCGCCCCATTCGGAGACTGCCTGTAATGTGAGATTAACACGCTCTACCATAGCTTCTCTTTCGGACTGGATTTTATCCCGACTGGCTCGAGAACTTGGTTGGTATCTCTCAACAACTGTGCTTTCGTCTGCATACCCATAGATACCGGGAATAAGCAGAGCATTAATATGCAGCAGGAAGAGAGTTGCGGAGAGAACGGACCCCTGAGGAACACCGGCGTTTGTAAACAATTTGTAAACAAGCAACGCAAAAAGAAAATCATAAAGTATATAAGCAGGTAAGTGGGCAAGTGTATAGTCAAATAAATAATTACATAAATAGTTAAATAGGTAAATGTGCAAGTAAATAGATATGTAAATAGTCAAGTTTATAAGCAGGTAATTAGGCAAGTGTATACGCAAGTACATAATGAAGAAAAAAGCAAGGGAGAATCAAGTAAATGATCGGGTAAATAGTTAAGTCAATAAGCAAGTAATTAGTTAAGTAAATATGCAGGTAAATAGTCAAGTAAATAGTAAAATAAATATGCAATTATTATATTATTTAATTACTATATTTATTATTCAAAAATGCAAGTGTTATTTGACTAAGCAAGTTAAAAAGGAAATCAGTAAATAGTAAAGTTAGTAAGCAAGTATATAAGCATAAAAGTAGGCAAGTGAACAGTTAAGTAAATTTATAAGTAAATAGTCAAGCAAATTAGCAAGTTAATAGTCAAGTAAATAAACTTATAAATAAGGGGTAAACCTTTATTGGGGTTGTTGGGAAACTACACTCATAATTGTGTGTGGCTGAAACAAATGTAAAAGGAAAATACGATGTTTACAGATTTTAACGATATTTAAATATATTAACGATATTTAACAAATGTCGTTAATATATTTAAAATTACGTTAATATACATAGTCAGGTCATAAGTATTGTCACACAGTAAAAACTTTTCTTTAAGAATGCTGGCCACAAAAAAGTTTATTGAATTCGAATTTCGAATTGTTCATGAAAATAAAACTGTATACTTTTTAGAATTTTACTCATTTTTAAATATGGAGTGGACGCTTAAAGAAGACCGTGTTGCAGTTATTGCGTTGCATCGTTGCGGTGACGCGCCAATTCAAATTTTTGACACACTGAAAAATTTGAATATAACCAAAAGATTCGTTTATCATACCATCAAACGATACAATCAAGACTCTAGTGTAGATGACAGGTCAAGAAGTGGTCGCCCTTGGTCTGTTAGGACTCCAACAGTGATAAAAGCTGTGAAGGCGCGAATTCGAAGAAATCCCAAACGTAAGCAGAAACTGTTGACCCTTCAGATGGGGTTAAGCAGAACCACGGTGAAAAGGGTATTAAATGAAGACTTAGGTCTTCGGGCATATCGAAGAGAAACAGGACATCGTTTGAATGCTCGTCTAATGGACCTGAGACTGAAGAGATGCCGCGCTTTGTTGAAGCGGTACGCGAGAAAAAATATCGGGAAATTCTTTTTACGGATGAAAAAATGTTTACCGTTGAAGAGAGCTACAACAAACAAAATGATAAGGTGTACGCACACAGTAGTGAAGAAGCGAGCGTGACCGTATTCCGCGTGTCCAACGAGGTCATTTTCCATCCTTGCTCATGGTATGGTTGGGAGTTTCTTATTGGAGCCTAACAGAGGTACATTTTTGTGAGAAAGGTGTAAAGGTGTAAGAATGCAGTTGTGTATCAAAATACAGTCCTGACGAACCTTGTGGAACCTGTTTCTCATACCATGTTCAATAACAGGCACTGGGTATTCCAACAAGATTCGACGCCAGCTCATAGAGCGAAGAGCACACAAGACTGGCTGGCGGCGCGTGAAATCGACTTCATCCGGCACGAAGACTGCCCCTCCTCCAGTCCAGATTTGAATCCGTTAGATTACAAGATATGGCAACACTTGGAGGAAAAGGCGTGCTCAAAGCCTCATCCCAATTTGGAGTCACTCAAGACATCCTTAATTAAGGCAGCCGCCGTAATTAACATGGACCTCGTTCGTGCAGCGATAGACGACTGGCTGCGCAGATTGAAGGCCTGTATTCAAAATCACGGAGGTCATTTTGAATAAACTTTAGTGTCATAAGAATCTATGTTTTGTTAAGTTCATTTTGGTATATAAATGGTTACATAATGAATAAGCTTGTTTCAATTATTTTTTATTAAACATGTTTATTTGAGAGCTGGTGCTTTACATGTCGTCCCATATAAATTTGACCAAGGTCTGACCAATAGTTTTTGAGTTATCCTTAATAATTTATATTGAAGTCGGTTGTACAAAATTTTCAATTTTAAATTAAGGTGCCTCAAGACCGTGACAGTCGTCGGGGGAGGCCTATGATCAGCAGTGGACTAGTGGTGGGTTGTAAGGTAAATCTAAATACAATGATTGAAAACTAGCTGTTCCTCGCGACTTCGCCCGTGTGTTAATTGGGGTTTTAGTTTATTTGCGCGGAACCCTAATTCTTTTTCTAAAATAAAAGTAGCCTAAGTTACTCCTCATGACATCAGCTATCTGCCAGTGAAAGTCCCGTCAAAATCGGTCCAGCCGTTTCCGAGATTAGCCGGAACAAACAGACAGACAGATAAAAATTTAAAAAATTGTGTTTTTGTTATAAGTATCGTATATACTTTCATATGCATTTAGTAAAAAGTCGTAATTTTAACATTACAAACAGACACTTCAATTTTATTTATTTGTATAGATATTTATTCGTCACCAGGAGCCTCGCGAAATTCATCTTTTCCTCACCAAATTTCGATCTTACTCCGCCCCTGAAAAAAACTTTTTTTTTTAAATAAAATACCTGCAATGCTATAAACATTACTAATATTTCCTTCAACTACTCCTAGTAAGCTTAAAATGCTTGTGTTTGGAGCGGTTCACGACAGTAGTCGAATGTTGGATTCGAACCCACGACCTTCTGAGTTCTAATGCTTCGACTGATAATTTTAGTACGGTATGATAATTTTAGTTTTTAGTTTTACTATAACCATTACAGTCTATCAAAGTCCAATGCTGAACATAGACTTCCCCTATAGATTGCCTCATAGGGGGATATTTTTTTAGTTGCCACGCTTGGCAGGCGGGTCGTTGACCGCAGTATTTTATTTTTTAGTTGTTATTTGGAAGACGATGCTGCCCATCTCCTGGTTTATTTCCCTCTGTCGCCTCCTACGACACCCGTGGGACATACGTTAAATAAAATATCCCCTAATCATAATATGGATTATATTTTATTTTAGTAATAAATATTGTATTTTATAAAGTTACTAGCCGACCAGGCAGACGTTGTTCTGCCCTTTCCGACGCCCATTTGCTTTCCTAAAACAAAAACTCCTGAAATTAGCAATAAAAAAATTGAGGGTCACTTATCGGGATAAAAACTATCCTATCTCTCAAGTTGGACCAAACTGCACACAGTGTGCAAAATTTCATTGAAATCAGTTCAGTAGTTTAGGAGTTCATCGGGGACAAACAATGTGATACGTAATTTTTATATATAAAGATGTACTCGTATATAAAAAAATATATTAAACTTTTATATGTGCAACGTATTTATATAGTGAAAAATTGCTATCTGTTTTGTAACAGGCGGTGTAAACGCTTAATATAACATCGTTGTCATTCTTCTTTCATGTCCAGTGGTGAAGTCTTACGGGTCGTAAAGATCTCTTTGAAATTATTAATAGTTACGTTTGGCATGTAGATTGACGGTCGCAGTACACGACGTCTCTTACTTTTGACGCTGCTGACTGGCGCCGGCCTTAACGGTGGGTAATTAGGATATGCCGTAAGCGAAATGGTTATAGCGCCATCTACCGAAAGCCATTAGATTTTTCTGGCATATCCCATGCTCGCTTCTTACGACACTAAAGCCACGGTTACTAGGAGTGGCAAGTGACTGCCAATTTATTAGTTGTTTGTTACTTTGTAGTAATTACAATACAAAAATAAAACGCACACGCCATATCACATCATATCAATTTTATTAAAACGTCTTTGTCTTATACGAAGCCTGTACATTCATCTAATTACATCAAATTACTAATATGCGTAATAACACGGACGTAAAAACATACGAACGTAATGTTAAAACACTGAAATGTAAAGCAGAACGCGCGCTGCATACTAGCGCCGATTGTCATTTGTGTGCGTGTATATCGCATATTGACAAACAAAATTGTAGAACCTAGGGTACTACTTCACACAATTTTAGTATAGCATTACGTTTACGTTCGCATTTTTGTACGTCCACGGCGTAATACAACATGCACACATACATTAATCGTCGACCACAATAAACAATCGACGAAATTACACGCATTGCGAACGTTCCGTATCGCATTATTATAAAAAGCCTTTTCGACACTAACACCCATATAATATTATGTTTGTTTGTAAAACAATAATTAGTAATCTATCTAATTACGATCGCGTCATTTCTATCGGTAGACATAAGCATTTTTGTTGTTTTAGCACAATTATATTTGGAACGAAAAGGAAAAAGCGCGCCATTTTATGACATTTAACATTAGTTGACATGTCGAAATTTAGAAACAGATGACTATAATCAGATTTGACGGATTGCATAATATTAAAATTATTATTTTAAACGTGCTACTGAAATGTGGCAGCATTCCAATGACAAACAAAATGTTGATTTAGCGTTCAACCAGATCCAACCGGCCAACACAACCGCCACAAATGACCTATCATTGAATTTGAATATACTTATAAATACCTAACCGTAGGCTCTTCAGTTTATTATAAATAAATTTTAAAAAGAATTCCCGCACTCATGTAAATAATTATGACAAATAATTTAATACCAATTCCTTGACATTTCTTTCATTATTTAAGTAATGATATATACAAAAGCGGAACTGGTAATTAATTTATTTTTGATACTTACTTATTTAACGGATGATTTAAGCAGAAAAGTGAAATTCACTTTTTAAAAGTTTACGAAATTCACTTTATTATATATTTATATGTTACTTACTATGCTTTATACACACAATAAACAGACAAATTACAATCTACCTCAAGCACATTTAAATTTAAACATTAAATAGAACAAAAATTGCGAAATATAATTTTTAACAATACAAGAATCAGTCAACACATATTTAAATTAATAAAATATCATTTTTGATTTCACTTATACAACTCTATAAACGTTGTATATGGCGTACATTTTGTATGTGAAATTATAAAAAAAATAATCATCGACATCGGTTCACCTAGAAAAAAGTTATGATTTTACATTGGTAGGCATTTCACATACATAGACATATTATATAGCATTCACTGATTTTTAGTGCTAACTGTGAAAATGTTGTTGACTAAGGTGTCTTTAAGGTGTATTTATTATATAACGTAGGTTTTTAAACATAAAGTCATAAAGTACATACATGTTTTGTTAAAATCTTCAGCTATATAGAATATAATATATTTTCTTATTTTAGAACAGAAGATTAGTACCTACGTTCTATACAAAATACAAACACAGTGAACCCTGCGAAAAATGAAGTGAGATTTAATTAATTACAAAGAATTTAAATGAAATACTAATGTTTATAACTTTAATTAAAAATATTTAAATAACATCATTTAATTTATAATTAAATGATATTATATTTATATTATATTTAAATTGAGAATTAATATTTTTAATTGAATTTAAATTATAAACAAGTATTTTTTAAGTAAGTTAGTTTTGAAAAATTAACGAAGACAAATATTATAGTACATTTGTTTACCGTTAATAGTAAGTATATTAAAGTATATCTTAGTGTCACAAATAATATAATATTTTTTCCTTTTTCCTTTTAATATTTACGACTTTTTCTTTAACCATCACGTAAAACTTTCTTTAAATAAACTTTAATAATATGTTACATATTATATATAAGTAATATATAACACTAACATCATATTTATATAAATAAATAAATTTATTACACGGTATACACTATACATAAATAATGAGGTTTCGTATAATATAGATCTTTTTTCTGGAAATAAAAGTAAAAATTATTTTTTTAACTTTCTTATTGCTCGTGATATGCGCATGTCCATACTAGATAACTTATAAAATTTCCAGAAATATATCATGAATCTGACAAATATAAAATTGACGTAATCATTAACTTTTAACTTATTTTATTGTCTATATATTCTACAAAGTAAATAATTGGATAACTTTGAATATACTAAATATTATACTTGCGATTGTTGACATTCGGTGAAACTTTAGTTTCATTTTACTTGTACTTGTTTCATAATATTTACTTAAATTATTAATTTGCTATAGAGATAATTTACCTTGATGATCCCGTGAGGCAGAAGCGGTCGGTGTTCATAGTTAGTAAATTTATAATTTCAATAAATATTGTTAAACAAGTGCAAGTGTGCATTCAAATCACAAAAAATTTATAAAACTACTTACTTTCTCAATAATTAATATTATTAATTTCAAATTCTTGATATTATAATATTGGTAAAGAAAGAATATACTTAATGTGTACAATCGGCAATGTAATTCCAGAAATTTGTTCTAAATATTTGCAAACTTTTTAAAATTATTTTAGCCGAAAGGAAGCCCATTGTTAGAAAATATTTTTCTTCATTCAAATGTTTATAAAGCTTGAAACATATATTAAAATAGTTTCTTATCGAAATTTTAAACTCTTACACCAATTTTATAGATAATATCTCTCATAGACCCCTGCTAAAAGGACTCACTACGCCAAATAAAGTAGATAAAAACACCGTTTATTTTACTTTCTAAAAGTATATTGAACTAATTATATTACTTACAAAAGTTACGGTTTATTTCGATGATATTACGTTATACGTGGCAGAACCAGAGTGTTACAGCTATATCAATAGTACAGTTGTAGTACGAATGGGTCGGCTCGATCGGGGAAGGACCACGCTCTCACAGAATACCAGCGAAAAATAGCAGCTTAACGCTACTGTGTTTCGTATGGTGAGTGTAGAGAACCGGATAACCTTTTTATTGGAAAAGAGGCATTCTATGTTAGTCCTCACGGCTGACAACGCATCTGCATTTTGATTCGCAAACAAAATAGATGTCTATGGGCCACAGCAACCACTTACCATCAGGTGGACTGTGTGCTCTCTTGTCACCATTATCCTATAAAAAAAATGATGGAAAAATGTTCAGTTCTATGTTAAATTTTGATCGTGTTGTTAATTCACTTTATATAAATTGTTACAACTCCTCATATCATTTTAATTCATACGAATAAATAACTAACATTCATAGCATCATTACATTCAACGCTAAATTTTATAAATGGTATAATATTCGATCCGTCTAACGTTAATTGATTTGTTACGTTTGGCGTAATTATCAACGTTATTTTCAGTCAACCTTCGCTATTTGGAAGACTTAACTAACGAAAACTTGACACCAAACGTTGAGACAAACTGAAAGATAGACGGAGCGTTGCGTATACCATACTCAACTGATCGTAAAAATACCCACTCGCGTACACAACATGTGCATCTAAAAGCATTCGTCACCAACAACGTGATTCAAATTACTTCAGGACGCATACATGTATGTACATAGATGTATGCGTCCTGAAGTAATTTTTGACAGGTTGACAAGGGAAAAAGAGACAAATTACACACGCACACACGTGCACACACACAAACACACACATATGTGTTTACACATATAAAATGTCAGTACACATAGAGCAAGCGGTTCAGGTACTTAATGTGTGAGCCATAATTAAAAAAATATTATGGTTAATACATACAACAATTGCCGTTAATAGTACGTAAATTATATTTTGTTAAAATTTTTAAATAACGTGTTGGTGACGGTTTTATTGTATTTTTTTTTTTGTTTTCGCCTAATTTTAATAGACGAATTATGATTATTCTAAACACGTATTTTATCTTAACAAATAAAATAATGTCCTTCTCTTGATTGTTTCTATTAATTTTACTATATTATAATCATGTATCGTTGAATCACGATGGTTTTTTTTTTCTATAAAAAAGCTATAGAGAAATATATTATTCGGTGTCATTATTTTTGTCTAATAGTTTCTCTAGTCCTCTGAAGTAGACAGATTCACTAAACAAAAGATTTTCGAATAATACTCGAATCTCGACCTTCGCAAATAAAATAATCTGAGAAGAGAACCAATCAATTTAAAAAAATCCTGTTTATTCGTTACTTCCAAAATTGGTTAATTATATTTCTAATGTTATAAAATTTTTTCATGATATTAACTTTCTTACTGATTACAAATTTGTTATTTTTGGCTTTAAATGTTTAATTTTAATGTATTTACATCTGTATATTATTTATTTAACTTTTTATGTTAAAAAAGTATTTACAATATAATGGTTTCGTTACTTAGCGTTATAGTTAAAGGAACCGTAAAAATCGTTATTATAAAATAAACGAATAATTTTATAATAACGATTTCTTTAGGCACACCGTGATACTTGATGGTCAGCATGTAAAGCCCTTCAGTAAGAATTTGAGAATTTCTAAGTGTTAAGCAAAAATAAATCACAATAACGAGTCCACAAAGAGCAATGGCAGAAAAATAGTTGACAAAAATTATAGCGTCTAGAAATAAGTTATATATAAAATGAGTTTTATTATTTTTCTATGATTTTTCAAATAAAAATGTATTTTAATTAAAGCCACAGAAAAAAAATACATTTTTGGGAATATCAAATGACTTAAATCATTTTACTCTACTCAAATGTTGCCATTTAGTATATTTATACTATTTTCGTATACACTTTGTAAGACTACCAACACAACACACAAAATATTTTTATATTAACTTGTTATTAGTAATAACTGTACTATCAGTAATAATAAAAATAAAAGTGATATGGCTGAGAATAAGTCTCTTACAAAGAATTTCCTACAATAATACATTATCTAAATCATAGTACTATGTAACAATTCCATTTAATGTTATGCCAACACTAGCTAAAATAAAATGTCACTGTTTTTTTTTACTGGCTTTACGGCTCTGGGTTCTAGCCCTTCTGAGAATATCACTATGATACAAAAGACCTGGAGCCATGCCAGAAATATACATTTATAGTATGCAAATATATAATAGAGATACAATAATCTAAAAACTTTCAATTATGTATTATGTATTAAGCTAACATGAAACAACTACAGGAAGCATGACTTTTTCCAAGTGACATAGGACATAACCTAAAAAGTTCAAATGGAAATATCTTATTTTTGACGCCTCCTCAGTACAAAATTCTTTGACAGAGTTATTAAGGGACTGAGGCTCAACATTTTAAGATATTTTTGGTATATAGACGCTACCATTTCTTCTCAACTAATTTTATGTATGAAAGTCTGCCATTGTTCTTTGAATTTTCAACGATACTGCTTACTTATGAATACGAGTAATATTAATCGGGACGAATTGCCTCGTTAGCACTAGTTAGCGCATAGTACCTGTATCGCAACGTCCCAAGAACGGAGGCAGTTGTAGACGTAGGTACTAAACGTAATGATTATATAATCTTTGGTAGGCACTTACGTCTAGTTGCCATCAGTGTACGATATAGATAATTAATTTTAAAGAGAGATTTTTCAAGATTATTAATCGTACACTGTGGACTCAATTCATTCGGTCGTGTACTCCTAATGCTTCGAGGTAAAACCGCTTGTAAATTCGGCTCTCGGAGTGCGACACGGTTTAATTTTATTCATAATATTGTTGTCTCAGTGAAATAAAAAAGAGATGAGAGATGAATAGATGCCTAGGTTGAACACGATTGTCCAGCAAAATCATAAATATGAACAAGAAAAAATACTTTAAATAAATCAAAAAAATTGTTAAATGACAATTTGTGCAAGCATTGATTAAAATCAATTGAGCGTTGATCGTTCAAATGGTTCCTTTATTAACAATTATATCAAATTCTCACAAGGTTAGATCTTGTGATATATTTTCTTATCATAATGCCTAAACGTTTCAAATTGGAAAAAGCTATGTACTATGTTAAAGATTCTTTGTTACCAGTCATTTTATAACGATTTACTAAGAGTATTTAATCCATAATGATAGACATGTGAAATAAAAAAGCCATAATTTCAGGATAAATTATCGTGAATAAAATATCATATATAATGAGTTTAAGAATATATATTTAGTACGGATCAAAAACATTACGTAGCGATACGCAGCTGTACAAACCCTGCCGTCCTTAAATTGGTTTTTATTGTTTTTTTTTATGAATTACCATTAAATAGGTTTAAAAATATTTTATAATTTCACAGTATACATTTTTTAAAAGAAAATGCTTATAATTTAAAATTATTTTGTAATATTAAAAAGATAAAAAAAGTAAAGGAAAAAAACATGCCATAAAGATAATTTACAGTGAAATAAAATTAACTTTCTTAGTAGTTAATAGGATATTAATACAGCATTATTTCACTTCACGTTACTCACACATCTAAGTATCTAATACGAGAACTTACACAACAAGCGCATCCTATAAAACGGTTTTGCAAACAGTTTTGTTAACAGTTTTTTTTTTAATGTCAACCCATTTTTCCGCGGGTACACTTCGGTTATTTATTATATTGGTTACACTTTAGTTTCATAACAGTTTTGGGTGCCGGCATCAACTATATAAGAGTTTCTTTCCCTCCGAACTTGAATAGGTCCTCGTGAGGACACTGACTTGGTGGGGGGCGATCTCTCCTCGGCTTTGGCTCTGCATACTAGTTTTTCGACGTCAATATTGTCACAAATTCTGAAACAAAATTTTGAATATTTTACATCCTTGTTTTACTTCAGCATTCCAAATAAGATCTATTTACCAAAAATATAACAAATTTCATATAAATATGGATATTTTTTGTAAGTATATACAGGGTTATTTTGTAATAACTGGCCAAATTTCCAGAGAAGGTTCAGAATAAGTAAATGGTCAAAAAAATATGAAAAAATCTCAAACATTGTGCCCTTTTTATCTTTTAAATTCAAAACGCGTGGTAATGCATTATTATAACCAAAGACATTTAAGTAGTTACCTATATATTTAAATCTCTTTGATTATAACCGATTTTATTGCGCACGCCCACATTTTGTAACGGTCGATCGGTAGGCAAAAACCTTGCTGCCCATAAAACGCATTCAATATGGGATAATTTAAAATAGAAATAGAAGCCTTATTTACTCGTATTTTCAAAAACTGCATTAACGTTATATCATTATTTTCATAAGTATTTATATATTGACCTTAGTTTAAAATTTGGCTACTCTTTGAAAAATAACCCTGTCTATTACAAGTATAACAAATAAAAATATTTGAAATAATTTGTTATATTACATTTTATACGACACGTTTTCAATTCTAATAATTAAAATATTTAAATCTTCTAATATGCATATACGAACGTATATGTATAGGTATTATATGGTAAGGATATCAATATAAAAGTTTTTCAACACACAAAGGTTTATTTCTCACACATAAAACTATTATTAATACAATTTTAAAACATAAAACATAAAAATTCCAAAACCGCAAGAACTTAGAACTTTTTTTTGAGTTATTTATTTGGTCATTTCTTAAAAAAATGCACTAGATACTCAAAATAAGCAACTCGAATAGAAAACAACAAAAGAACACAACAAAAACAACAAAAGAAACAACTCGGTAAACGAACATTAGGTATAGCCTAATACCAAAGGATGGGATCATACATCTGTTAGATTATAGGATATGGCGACGATATAATTAGAATAACTCGAAGTAAATACCGTGATTAATAATAATATTAATATATTTTTATTCAGACTTAGTCCATAGAGAGTCCATGTTAGAATAGATTAAAACTGTTATTAAACATTATCCTATATGTGATGTATGATATAATTTTTCCCCTTTTATTTTTATTTTTATTTTTTATTTTATTTTATAGGATAGGCGACAAACGTGCACACAGTCCACCTGATGGTAAGTGGTTGCTGCGACACATAGACATCTACATCTATCCTCAATAAAGCATCAAATTGCGGATGCGTTGTCACCCACGGGTGACAACGCATTCCATCTTAGTCTTCACAAGGACTAAGATGGAATGCCTCGTTTTCAGTAAAAAGGGTCTTCGATTCTATACACTCACCATACGAAATACAGCAGCGTTAAGCTGCTATTTTGCGCTGGTATTCTGTAAGAGCGTGGTCCTTCCCCGGTCGACCCATTCGTGTTACTACTATACTACTAATATAGCTGCAGCATGGCTCTACCACGTAAAAAGTTTTCTAGTTCTTATCCAGCCTTTCGTTTGCAAATTCTTTGTTACAGTCTATTACTGAGGCCGGGTGAGTTTGCAGTCTATTATACCCTTTCGGAAAGTCGTCGCCTTTAGTCGCCGTTCCCGTGTAGTGGCGGTGTAAGAATATTCACTATCCCATATCCTCCCTTGGGTGTCGTAAGAGGCGATATAGGGAAACTAAAACGGGAGATGGGCATTAGCATCATTCTTATAAGAACTGAAATAATAAAAAAATATGGTTGAAAATCCGACTGCCAAATATGGCAACTATGGCAAAATTCTTCCTATGAGGCAATCTATGGATGAGGCCTATGTCCAGCAGTGGACATAGGCTGTAATGAAATGAAATCGTAAGCTGGGTAGACAGATTTATTTTATAGGATAAGGGTGACAAACGAGCACACAGTCCATCTGATGGTAAGTGGTTGCTGTGACCCATAGACATCTACATCTATCCTCGATTACTGAGAACTAAGATGGAATGCCTCCTTTCCAGTAAAAAGGGTCTCCGGTTCACTACACTCACCACACGAAACACAGCAGCGTTAAGCTGCTATTTTACGCTGGTATTCTGTGAGAGCGTGGTCCTTTCCCGATCGAGCCGACCCATTCGCGCTACAACTATACTACTAATATAGCTGCAGCATGGCTCTACCACGTATGGACAGATGAAATTCCAGCAAAAATTCTTACCATCGTAGTTGACCATGCCGTCTCCGTCCAAATCGGCTTCGCGGATCATGTCATCGACCTCCTCCTCACTGAGCCGCTCGCCTAGGTTTGTCATCACATGGCGCAGTTCCACTGACGAGATCAAACCGTCGTTGTTCTTATCAAATACCCTGAAATTGTAACGTAACGTTTATTAATATATGGTTTTAAATAACTATTAAAGTATTTGTAATTTTTGTTTTAATGTTGCAATTTACTTCTATATCATAATCAACACAAAATACTTTGAAATACATTTTTAACGATACCTTGTCCTCTTTAAAAAACAGTACTACAGAATTTAAGAGTTCGATAGTATAAATTTCTTTTTTTGTTGTTTAATTTAATTGGTTATTGTCATTTTGTCCTGTCTTATTTTTAGTAGTTCTTAGTTTTTAATTTATTTTTAGGTTATGTTTGTAATTTACGCGACAATCGCGGGCGTACGCACACTCTCCGCGTATCTAACAGTATTTAATCTTTACCATAGCACCGCTACTCTGCCTCTGCGCGCCTTTACCCCGTAAACGATTGTTGAGGACAATACGACAGTATACTATGCCTGCTTTTATTACATACGGTTGTATACGCGAACAAAGTCTTTGGTTTTTAAAGATATTTAATTTTTTATTAAAAGGGTAGATAGAACACAAATATTTAATTTCAAATCACTTAAAACATAAAAATCGCCAAATTGTGGGTTACCATAGTATACGTAGGAGCCATCGATAGTTTGTAATTTGTGTTATAAAATGTTACTCTTCTTGTGAAGAATATTGTGGCTGTCACAAATAGGTTTTACATTTAAAAATTAAGTACATATATACATTATTTTTGTGAACGTATATTTTTGTAATAACCTCTGGCTGTCCTTAAAGAAATATATAAATAACCAATAAAGAAAGGTATGTCGCTATTTTTATAGAATTTCCGCATAGTTATCCTTCGAACCAGTCACACAATAAGTCATTCTTAAGTCGAGTAGCTCTTAAAATATTTTTGTTTGTTTGATATTGGTTTTGGTGGAATTCAAGCCTAAAATTCGCAATTCCGATGTTAGTATTTAGTGTTTATTCAAAAAAAAAAAACATGTTTCAAAATTGTACTACGCTTGGTTTTCTTTTCACGTTGTCTAAATCCACTGCTGAATAGCCAGTTGGCGTGCAATCTTGTTATATTTGCCTATTGTCATAGTTATTGGGACTCACCACGCTATGGGCTGTTGAGCGCAGAATTAACACATTCACTGCCACCTCACTACAGCTTTGCTTGCTTCTCCTTAGTCTAAGTTTCACCATTACCTGAATGCTTCCCTAAGCTCGTCTTCCCCATCCGACCCGCGCATTTTCTTCGACATCATCTGAAGGAACTCGTTGAATTCTATAGTGCCGTTTCCATCCTGATCCACTTCTTTCACCATGTCTCGAAGCTCTGTTTCTGAAATGTGAAACACATAATTTAAAATTTTGAACAGCCGACTTCAATATGAGTTATTACGAATAACTCAAAAACTATTAGTCTGACTATGATCAAATTTATATGGGACCACACGAAAAGTACCAGCTTTCAAATAAAAGAATCATCCAAATCGGTTCACCCAGTAAAAAGTTATGAGGTAACACACATAAAAAAACATACAGTCGAATTGAGTACCGTCTCCTTTTTGGATGTCGACAGAAAATAGTTTTAACTCATAACAGTTCTATCAGATTCACTTTCTAATTAATTTTGTCTAAGAACTATAATATTTACTAGTGATTTCGAATTTCGGTCACGATAGTGGATTTCAAAGGGCTAGCCATCTGCAAAAGACACTCTATTCACTATCTCCTCACTCTCATAGTGCGATAAGATGGTAACCTGACACAACCGAAGAGAGATCAGGCGCAAGACCAACGGCTTTAGGTGCTCGAGGCACGAAGGTCTGGCACTGTCAACATCCTGACTCCGAAATGTTATTAAGAATTTTTTGACAGAAAAAATTCAATAAATGATTTTTTTGACATGACCCGGGATTTAAACCCGGGGCCTCGTGATCAGTAGTCGCTTTTACGAACACTAGGGTAACGAGACAGATTTAAGGAATTTATCATGCAATATATAGTGCTCGCATTAAATTATTGTACTCAGGTACTGAGTTTAGATCTGTGCCATAATCAATATTTATACGTTTACATAGCATCTGAGTGTTGGATTCGTATATAATTTAAGGGATATTTGTCCTTTTGTTTGTAAAAATGCAGAAACATCTTATCTAACTCTACAAAACGTAAAAATTAATAAATAAAATTATATATGGAAAACTTTGATAAACTATATGGAAACGAATTGATAACATAGCAGTTATTAATTCCTTTACACATGAAAAGTCATCCCATAGATGTTTATACAACATTGAAGGAGGCTGCGGTTTGCAAAACACCAACAATGACAATGGAAACCTGCAAAAATAAAAACGGGCACAATAAACAAAAGAGGGATAAGGTAATAAATCCGTCGGTTTGTCGCAAACGCGACCATTTAACTCTAGGGTCTTTCATTTATAAAAAGAGAATAGCGCAGTGCAATTTCGTACTGTTTTAATTGCCATCCAGTGAACGAAACTCGAAATGTACGCGAAATTTGATGATTTATATCCTAGGGCAACCATTGTTGTGGATAACTCCTATTTTAAAACACTGTCTCCCGGTTTTGGATTAACTATTGTTTAAAATTTCATAAATATTTCACTGTATTCAAATTTAAATAATCCAATAAATCAAGTATTCTTATTCATTCATTATGACGGCTCCGTGGCGCAGTGGCATAGCGATGAGTTGCTGCGCTGGGGGCCGCGGGTTCGAATCCCGCACGGTACAAGTATTTGTATGGCCTACAAATAATTGTTCCGGATCTGGATGTTTGTCCTTGTGCAATTTATGTTTGTAAACTGCCTCAACGATACAGGAGAAAATCCTAGTGTGGGGGTAACGTTTTAAAAAAAATAATAATAACAATAATTCATGTTTGATTATCTTCTAATATATAAAATTAATATTCATCAGATTGCACTAAAAATTATTGTTTGCACTAGCGCGAAGGTTATAGGCATAATACAATTAACCTACAATAGGTGGCGCGCGTATCGTAGCTACAAATTTATCATTCCTAATAAACAATATAATTCTTCAAAATTTAAAACCATATTTCCACAATTATTTCTTCTATGCCGGCTACGCGTCAGATACCAGCTAGTATTCTTATAAAAACGAAATACTGATGGAGCTGTAAGCTTGAATGAATTTAGTGCTATCTAGTTTTCAAAAGAATCGAAAATATCTACGTAAAGTAAAGAAATAAAAAGGATAATCTCAAGGGACTTTACTTCCATAGAGTGACACCAATTCCAGAAAAAGTCTCAGTCAATACAAGTAATCGGTCCATCTCACGTAAGTGGATGCTCTGTCCCGTAAACACCTATATTTATATCAATTCATTCAAACAAATGTAAAAAGAAAAATTTTGTACAACCGACTTCAATATAAATAAAATGATAACATCATGAATGTAGTTGACGTCAATTAAACACGAGAGATCTGGTTAGTTCTTGAGCAACACGATCATGTTGATCAAAATCTAACCAGATCTCTTGGACCACATAAGAAGTACCAGCATTCATATAAAAAATAATCACCAAAATCGGTTCGCCTAGAAAAAAGTTCTGAGGTAACACACATCGACAAAATTACAGTCGTATTGAGAACCTCCCCCTTTTTTGTTGGTTGAAAAAGCAAATTTACCAACAATCGAAGCTATTTTATCACTTTCCACCACCCAAGCAATTAATTATACGTTCGAAGTTAAAATTAAAAATATTTTTAACACTTTTTAGCCAACGATGTTGAAATGACGCTAAGGAATGAGAAAAAAAAAACAAAAGTAAACACACAACATTCCGTTTATATTTGAAATTATAATTTTTTTTATTTTATTTACGTTATTATGGGGCACGTCTAACGTACGTACAGTCAAAATTAAAAAAATGGACTAGGTAAGCTATGCTGCAGCTAGATGGTTGTACAGTTGGTCGGCTCGATCGGGGAAGGACCACCATCTCACAGAATACCAACGTAAACCGCTTAATGCTGCTGTGTTTCGTACGGTGAGTGTGGAAAACCTGAGAAGGGTCTACCCTTATTACTGGAAACGAGCCATTCCATGTTAGTCCTCAGTGGTGGCAAAGCATTAATCGAGAATAGATGCAGATGTCTATGGGCCACAGCATCATGTGCTTTAAAAAAGTCTTATTAATAATTATGACTTAATAATTAATAATTATAATTATATAAATAAATAAGCTATGATCAATTATTATTAATAATTATTGATTATAGCTGTCTCTTTCTTTTGTCATTAAGTCAAAAGAGAGTGTAACTTTAAGCGTAATTATTGACATAATTATGTACATCAAGCCTACTTATTGTCGTTTTACGTCGTGCGTCGTGTCGTGCATAGTCTTGGCGAGACGTACAGCAAGATGGACCGTGAATAAGGCGCTTTATATTTACATTGATTTTTTGGGTAAGGCCGATAATATCGCCGTGTAGCGTCGGCGTAAGACAATCCACTATCCCATGTGACAGTACAAAGCGTTTTTCACTGTATCCATATCATCCCTTGGGTGCCGTAAAAGCGAAAGAGGAAAAAGGAAAAGAAGATTGGCAGCAATATTGTCTTGAAAACAACTCAAAATAATAAAAAAACTGCGGTTGTCAACACGTCTACACTTCGTGGCAACTATGGCAAATATGACAAAGTATATCAATCTATAGGGTAGGCCTATGTTCAGCAGTGGACTTCTGGTGGGCTGCTATGTTGGTAATGATGCATAATCGTGATAAGTAATGTATGAAACTAAGAATATATGTATGATGTTTAACATCGCAAGTGGTACCACCACCATATTAGCTTAACGCTTCAAATTAGAATTACAACAAAAAGAGACGACTATGAAATAATAAACTCTGCGAGTAAAACTACATCTATTTTTTAAAATATCGAAGAAATAAATATTAAAACCCTATCAAAATATGACGGTCTACGAATACCACTAGAAATTCATGAAACGGGATTTATCACTGTTGGTAAATTGAAACGTCTACCCTTTCCTGCGTTTGTAGGAAAATAAATTCTACAACGTTTCGATTACGTTCGGAGTTACGATTCTACGTATTACGAATGCTTTTTGCGTGTTTACTGTGCATAATCAAATAAAGAGTAAAGGTGAAGTATCTATCACTAACACCACTACAACTACTAACACAACATCCACGACCATGTTATTCCGATCCTGAGCGTGGGTGCTCAGGCTGCCCCGCGTATTCTGGGGGGGGGGGGGGGGGGCAAAATTCCGCTCAAAAGCATTACTGCTAGGGGCAAACTGAGCAAGAACACCAAGGCGACCCCTGCCACGCTATCCGTGAATTTCTGCAACATCAGGGGACTTCACTCTAACCTAAACGCCGTCCACTACCATCTCGAGACGGCGAAGCCGGCCTTGCTCTTTCTGACCGAGACGCAGGTTTCCTCTCCGGCTGATATTTCGTATCTCTCCTACCCGGGGTACAAATTGGAGCATTCCTTTGTGCCTCGGGCTGGAGTTTGCGTGTATGTCAGAGAGGACATCTGTTCTCGACGCCTCGGCAGTCTTGAAGGTTCGGACCTGTCCATCCTTTGGCTACGCGTAGACAGCGACGACCATCCGCGCGTCTACGGGTGCCTCTATAGGTCCCATAGCGGTAATGCCGTAACAGACCGACTCATCGACCACGTCCAAATGGCTACAGATTTCTTGCTACAACAGGTCCCATCCGCAGAGATCGTGATCCTTGGCGATTTTAACGCCCACCATGCCGAATGGCTCGGTTCACGTCTAACCGATCATGCGGGGAGATCTGTTTATGACTTTGCCTTGGCATATGGTCTGACACAACTGGTTACTTCGCCTACGCGGATTCCAGATGTGGAGGATCATACACCTTCCCTGTTGGACCTTCTGCTGACCTCTCATCCGGACGGATATCAGGTTTCCGTCGATGCCCCTCTCGGCTTTTCGGACCATTGTCTGATCCGGAGTGTGGTGCCACTCACGCTCCCTTCGCGGTTGCGTTCTGCAGGTTGCCGCCGTGTTTGGCATTACAGGTCGGCGGATTGGGACGGAATGCGGTCCTTCTTTGCATCCTACCCATGGGGGCGGATTTGCTTCTCGCCGGATGATGCCAGCGCTGTTGCTGACTCTGTCACTGATGTGGTGCTACAGGGAATGGAACTATTTATTCCATCATCTGTGGTACCCATCGGAGGCAGATCTCAGCCTTGGTTTGGTCGCTCCTGTAAGACTGCATTACGCAGTAAGCAGGAGTGTTATCAAGCCTGGGCTGCAGCTTCGGCGACTCGAG